ATGACGACCCACTTATCTACATGCAAAACAACAGAACATGGAACTTATTTAACCAAACATAATTCTCATTCATCAAGAAATAACAAGTGTAATATCCACTAAAGCAAAGCGTAAGTATATAACACCAACACCTCCTTCTCTTTAGACTATGGAAAGTGTATCTCGCTCTCAATCCCAAGGTCCTGCCAAAATGATAATACAAATAATTAGTCCCTTTGACTTAAATAAAACCTAATCTTATTCATACCAAAAATAAACTTCCCTTAAATACTCCCGCATCTTTCTGGATCCTGTGATCGTCAGAAGGTTCATCGATTTACTGCCAATAACCAGAATTTACAATCTCCCCCTTTGGTAGATAAATCGAAAACCATTTTCTTGAACTTGCAAGATGAAATACATATCTTGTACTGCATAGATTAACCACAAAATATCTAATCACAATTCATACGTGTTGTTCATAAGAGCAACTCGAATATCTGAATAAATTAGAACAAATCACAGGATACTAAAAAAAAAACTAGAGAGTTCATCACATGCAAAAGGAAGAAGAAACAGAAAATAAAGGAGTTCAACAAACATACAAATTAAGAAGTTTTTTTTTTAACAAAAGAAAAATGAAAGTCCTGCTGAGAGATGGCTATGCAGATTCTTCCTTGTCAGATTCCTCCCCTGAACCTTCTTCAGCACCATCCTCAATCTCTTCCTCTGAGTCTGCTTCCTATTCCTCATCCTCAACATCAGACCCAGCTTCTTCATCCTCTTCTTCTTCTGAACCTTCATCTTCTTCCACATCCTTCCCCTTTTCCTTGTCCTCGGCGGGAACAATCTCCTCTTTCCCTTTTTCCTTAGCAGTAGCAACAACCGCCTTTTTCTTCTTTCCTTCAGCAGACCCTGTTTTCTTGTAACACCCCACTTTTAATAGACAAAATTCAGAATAAATTTTTTCGAATTTATTTCAAAATACTTGAGGCGCTACTCATTTTCAAATCAATAATCAATACTTATCAATCATCAATACTCAATCCTCAATACTCATTTATCAATAATCAATAATCCAACACTAGTTCAGTTTAATAATCAATAAACAATCCAATTATCCAATACTCATACAATCCTAGGGAATACACTCCCTATCAATAATCCAGTAATCAATAAGACAATAATAACAATAATTCAATTTCAAGCAGAAGCAATAACAATTTTTGTGACCACCACTCGCTTTCCTCCACCGTGCCCGCTACTAACCTGCATCCATGAAGAGCAGGTGGGGATGAGCACAAGAGGAACAGTAGTGCTCACCGCTATGCCATAAATGTTAATGTCAATAATCAACAGTAATCAATAATCAAAAGGTATGGTCTCAGCATGTATACAAAGCAATAATTTATCCTATTCTCCCATCAATAATACAATAATCAGACTCATGTGCACACCTACGCATAGACTACTGCTGACTATATATCGAATGCCCTCCGGTCCTACATCGAGTGCCAGCCAGTAGGAGTAAACCA